TAGTTAAATAAAAAATCTTACTTGAACATTTGGAATAAGTACTAGTGTCTAATACAGTTTGTGTACTAGTATCTATTGAATAAGTACTAGTATCTAATAATAGATATAAAAATACTAGTATGTAATAAACAAATTCTACTATATATTGAAAAGGTACACGTATCTAATAATAGGTACTAATACCTAATGAGTAACTACTAGTATATAAAAAATATGTACTAGTAACTATTGGAATACATACTAGTGAAAACAAAACGTGTTACTAGTAATAAACTGAATAGTTACTAGTAACCAATGAGTAAGTTCCAGTATATAATATTAACTACTAGTATCTATTTGATAGGTACTAGTATCTAAGAAATGAGTAATAGTATCTAACATTAAGCACTAGTATCTATTTAATAGGTACTAGTATCTAATGAATAAGTACTAGTACTTAATGGAATAGATACTAGTATCTAAAAATAAGTATTAGTAGCATGAAAATATATACTAGTACGTTTTATAGATAAAACGGCTTGCCATAGTCACTGTCTCTCCAGAAGAAAATTTGATTGCTCTAATGTTTTATTTATGTCAACTTTGTCTCAGATGTTTCTCCTAAAAGACCATTGAGAGAAATAAAAATGCAATTGTTGCATATATTAAAAATATAATGTCATATTGAGAAAAATGTATGCAGTTTAAGACATTTTTATATCTCTTCTGAAACTCTTCTTCAGGATTTTTCTCAGAAGAAGGAGCAGGAGATTCTGTTTTCTCTTAATTAATCTCAACAACCAATATATTAATTAGATCTCATTTGTGATTTTCTTTTCTTCAGGTTGTTGCTGTATATGCAAGTCATCACACAGTTCTTGTTGTCCTCTCTTGCTCGGTTTCAGTCGGCTGGACGTAATGTTGTTGTTAAAGAAAATCTGGATTAAAGCCTAATCCCACTTGAATTCATCCATGTGTCTCTCTCTTGCTTATGTCACTTCCTGTCGCTTGTCCCACAGAAGGAAGGTCATCTGAGTCTGCAGGTCTAGATCCATTAGTAGATTTGTCAAGCCCAACTAGTTATCTCATATTCAGAGCCTCTTTCTTGCTTTCGAGAACATCACCGTCAGCAAACGACTAGCTTAATTACTTAAAAAAATTAAAAGTTAACCAGCCATATGACCATGTGGTCAAGATGTGACTAGTTTGTTCTAGTAGTTAGATGGTAGATGTTGTAAATATACCATTTAAATAACAAAAAGCATCTTTCTCAATTGACAGCCATTTAAAATGTGGTGTATTTTGAAATTGGTAGGATTATTTTCGGTAAGTATTTAAAAAAAACATTTTTGTTTATGTAAAATAAACATAAAAATGGTTTCATTCAGTTAGTTTCAAAAGCAACATTTCTAATTTTCATTTATAGTTGGAGTACAAAAATAATTAATAATAACTAAAACTGAAAAAAAAAAAAAATAATGCATTCACAAAAAACTAAAATGAAAACGGAAAATATAAAAAACAATGAAAATGGAAAATATATTATAATATATTATTATTATTATTATTATTTCAGCTAGTTGCCAAAGCACCATTTTTTATTTTTTTATTTAGTTTAAGTTGAAGTACTAAAATAACTAAAACTAAACAAACAAAAACAAAATTAAAATTTAATAAAAACTGAAAAAACAAACTAATAAAAATGCCAAAAATGGACAACAAAATTACTAAAATTTTAACTAAAATTAAAATGAAAACAAAAATAATAATATCAATGATACTAAAAATACTGGTCCACCATGAAGGGGAACACGAGTCTTCATCCAATGTGAGTGAACTAAATAGGTCTGTCAAAAGCACTGTTTGCTTTTTTTTTAATTTTAGTTCCCAGTGGATCAAAATAAAAGGGTTTCATTATTTATTAGTCCATTATTTTCCGAGAACATGTTTTGGTTTTGCCGGTGTTTTTGCCCTCAGCTGGAAGCCCTTGCTTGAGATTGTTGTCTGACCTCAGCTTTATCATTGCCACAACACCACAGCCGTCCCGGGGCAAAATCAATGATGCTCAATGAGAATTCAAATACGCCTGTGAACAAGAGTCGCACACAGAACCGCAACCTAAACTCAATGTGGCATTTAACCTGCGAATCTCAGTTTCCTGCCAAATCAATAAACGCTAATTTCCCATCATTGCTCAGGAATGATGGTCTTCATTCAACATTAGCGATTCATCATTTTGAATTTCATCATGTTTAGAAGTGACTTCAGCCAGTGCCATGCAAAAAAAAGTATGTTTATTAAATCCTATTTATTGATATCAAGATATATATAAATAAATCATAAATAAATCATTTTTGCATAAATCATGATGCAAAAAAATTTAAATTTCCTTCAACGAGGCCTATAATAATGTAATGGTTATTCACTGTTTAAACATCCCTCAATGGAGAAAGATGCATTTTGCCTGCAGAATGGTCTAGTTATGACATAACTACTAACTAACTGATGAAGCTAACCAGCCAAACAACACTGAGTCAGATGTTGTATTATTATTAGCTATATTACCACGTGATAGATGAATCTGCATCAAAATAACATAGATTTTGATGTCAACAGCAACTTTTATTTTTAACTAAAACTACACTCTAAAAAAATGCTGGGTTGTTTCAACCCAACTTTGGGTCAAATATGGACTAACCCAACGTTTGGATTAAAAATATAATGTACAAATTTATTGGGTCTATATTTGACCCAAAGTTGGGTTGAAACAACCCAGCATTTTTAGAGTGTATAACTAAAACAAAACAAAAAAAATCATAACTTGAGGTAAAATGAACATTTCCTGAAATAAAATAAAATATTTTTTAAAAATTTACTTTTTTTTCTCATTTTTGTTTAGTTTAGGTTGAATTACTAAAATAACTAAATAAATTAAAGGTGACTTGACTTGACTTGCTGTCTGCAACACTATCAGAACAGACCTGTGGCACATTTTTGGGTTAATAAATTTACAAATTTTTGTATTAAAGTACCATAAATGGACCCATGTAACACAGGCAAAACTGCAAAATTGTGTTCTCACACACAATTCATGTTATCAAAGAGATTCTGTCTGCTGGCCATAACACATTCAAGTGCAACAGTTGCGAAACAGACAGATTTTCAATTCAAACACAAAGATACAAAAAAAAAAATAGTGTCTTTGAAAAGTTTGCTTCTTCATCATCCTCATTCACGGGCAACAGTTTAAAGTTATCAGTTCAATGTTCTGTACGTCTTCAAGGTCGCCCTGCTGGATTGTCAGACAGGTAGATTGCATAATTGTGAGCCGCACAGCTGTTGAATTATTGAAAACGGACGGGAGCTTAGTGGAATTTTGATGAGTTTGTGTAAAGTAGTGTCTCAGGAAGATGAGGGGACACTCTCTGTGCCGTAGCAGGGAGTTTATTCATAGCATGTGTGTTGTTTTCCACCTGTCACTGTATGGATTTCCAGCTCACCATAATCAATATATTGATTCAAAGAATGACTGGAATAATCATTCTGGCTTTTCTTGAGCACACTGCTTTATCAATGTGCATTTTAGACAATGACTTCCATGCAGGCTGTGTTTGTGGTGCGTTGAGGTAGTTAAAGCTCAGGGCTGGTAACCAGAAGTTTTCTGGTTCGATCTCCATAAGGAATAAGCCACCATCAGGCAACCTTATGTTACTCTGGACCGTCCCTCTAATAATATGGCGGCATTTTACATTTGGTGGACAGATTATTTAATCCATTTTAATAATGGATTACATATATTAAATATTTGTTTTTTTATATGCATTTTTTTTTTAGCATTTATTTGCATTTTTATCAGTGTTTATCTTTGGGAATCAAAACCCAGGACCTTGCTTTTTTATTATTTATTTTATTATTTTTTTCCTTTCCTTTTTTATTTATTTTAATCTATTTGTGTATTGGTTTACATATATTTATAATAAAAATTTTTTTTATTTCTATTTATTATTTATTATCTTATTTCTGATTTAAAATGTGCATTTTTCATTCTCTTTATCATGACTATATAGAGCATTCTGCACTATGAAGTGTGCTATATAAATAAATGTGCCTTGCCTTTTTTATTATTTGTTTTATTATTATTTAGTTTTTTTATTATTCTTTTTTCTTTCGTTTTTAAATGGATTTTAATCAATTTTTATATTGTATTACATATATTATTTATTATTCTTTTTCTTAAATTATTTAAAATGTTTATTCTTAATTTCCTTTTTCTTTATCATGACTATATAAAGTAGAATTTTGCATTATTTGTATTGTTAGGAGCTATTTGAATTCTACACAGAATGCTATAGTTTATAGCAATATGGATGAGATTGTGGCTGGCAAACCCTGTCAAATGCGGCTTTACGGAGCTCAACGGCTCTGAACGGCTCTAGCCCAAGCTGTGATATAAACGAACGCTATTGGCTATTTTAAAAAGGGGCGGGGGCGCTTGGTATGTTCCACCCTGTCTTCCTGTTTCAGTTAAAATGACGTCAACACAGAGTAACACTGCCTGTTTCTAAGCATTTCAGGGGACCTTTAAATTATTTAAAATGCTCATTTTATTTGTAATTTCTTTTTCTTTCTATTTATCATGGCTATATAAAGCAGAATTGTGCGCAAAATGTGCTATATAAATAAATGTGCTTCGTCTTTTCTGACACCACAAGTGTATACAGAAACAGGCAAAAACAAACTCCAGCCAAAAATAAAGAAAAAACGTCCCTCGTGTGTGTTCACCGTGACAGCTATAGAGCAACTGGACGAGTCGCAGATTTGGCTTAAAGTTTCCAAAAAAAACATTCCTTCATCATGAAGTCTAAGGTTTACAGAGCTGTATTCTGGCAAACCCATCTACATCTAGTTGTTTTGGCCTCATCTGACCCACTGCAAACTGTAACCATATGTGACCCTGGACCACAAAACCAGTCATAAGGGTCAATTTGTTATGATAGGACAATACTGAACATCTCACTCACCCTGCTGAGCTGCTGCAGCAGTCGATGGTTTTGTTCTGACAGCTCGCTGATGGCTCGGCTCTTGTCGCGGTCGGCCTCACGCAGCTGCACCTGATGTCTCTCCAGCTCCCCCTGCAGGTGTTGCACATCTGTCTCCAGTTCGGCCACCCGGCCTTCCCACTCGCCCTCACGACTCTCCAGACGCCGCCGCAGCTCGTGCTTCTCCTGCTCCAGGAGCTGGAAGAGAAAGACCAGGGTCACTGACATTTATTGAGGAAATCACTGGATTTACCAAAGTTTGTCAGGTTAGTGGCATCAAATCTTTAGTAGATATTCATAGTTTTGCACTTAGTAGCAAATAAACTAGTAATATAATAAAACTACCAAAACTACTGTTTTGAACTTTTATGTTCAAAAGGTTTGGGGTCAAAATTAATACTTTTATTCAGTAAGGATTCATTAAAGTGACAGTAAAGACATTTATAATTTTACAAAAGGTTTGAATGTTCTATTCATCAAAGAATCCTGAAAAATACAACGTATCACAGTTTCCACAAAAATATGAAGCAGCACAACTTCTTTTTAACATTGATAATAATCAGAAATGTTTCTTGAGCAGCAAATCAGCGTATTAGAATGATTTCTGAAGGACTGGAGTAACGATGCTAAAAATGCAGCTATGATTTCAGCAATAAAATACTTTTGAAAGATATTATAATAGAAAACAGTTATTTTAAATCTTAATAATATTTTAAATTTTTTACTGTATTTTAGATCAAATAATTGCAGCTTTAGTAAGCATAAGAGACTTTCATTAAACAAGAATATTTGTGAAATATAGTACTTTTGGACAGACAGAATTTCAAATAAAATTTCTGTGTTCTATGATCTGATTTTTCTCCATGCTGGCAAACAACTAATCAACTAATTTAAATAACCCGTCCCCAAATGACATGTAAAACAGCAGCATATGATTGGTTGCCTTATATTTTGATCATGCACTCTCAGAAAAAAAGTACAAATGGTGTCACTGGGGCGGTACCCTTACAAAAGTATTAAACTGCACCATTTAGGTACTAAAATCTACCATAATATGTATACCCTTAAGGTACTACTCTAGGGATAAATATGGTACAATGCTAGTCCATGATAGCCAGACATCCAGATATCATGGTCTGAGACTTAAAGTTCTCATGTCATAAAGGGTCAGTCAGGTTGAGTCCCGGGCACCTCTGAGAGCTCTTGCTATAATTGCAGAAAATGAAATCCGGCACTGATTAAGAGCCATGAAATCCACTGTGAAGGCTATCAATGCAATTAACTGTTAGAAGTCATTTCAGTGCTGATTATTTGCTTTTGTAAGAGGGTGAAGGATTTCTCAAATTAGTCTGAAAATATGTGTAAAGAAAAAATAGCGAACTCGTACATGGATTAAGACAAGAGGTTTAAGTCAAAGATGTGAACTGGGCAGGAGGGAGAGTTGCATGGAGAAGCGTCTGGCCCTCAGACGGGTGAAGAGAGCCAAAGCACATTAGCTTTGCTTGCAGCATTGCTGAAACGACCATAAGAGCCCATATAGATCTGAACCAGATTCAGCGTCTTCACACAGTCTACATTCAGTGACAGTAAACGTTTGGGTCTTGACAAATAGCCATTAGCTGTGGTTCTAGTGGTTTCCTCATGCCATTCATCGTCATAGACATGATTTTTTTATTTTTATGACTGTATAAAAGTGTTTATAACCTAGTATGAGTCTTAAAAACCATTTGCTTTTAGGATTTATGCATATTTTTGTGCAATTAGAAACAGTTTTGAGCACAGCTGCAGCTGGGAACTCTTCAGCATGAGGAAGAAACTGGAGACTAACAGCTGGAGACTAAATGTGTTCGACTCATTTAAGTGATTATGATACATCTTGATTAATAATTAAAAATCAGACTGACTGCATACCCATGTAAACAACACATGCCTGTGAAATCAATCACAGCTCTGGAGTATTAAATTACACGCTTCATGATTTAATTGATTATTGATATTTTGGGGGTTTGCTTTTCATTTTTCTTATTTTCAGGAACACAAAGCATCCTGATATGCTGTTGTTGTTCTTTTCAATTATTATAAATAAACTATTTTTTTTATAAATTAATAAATTGTAAATTGTATATATATAATTTGAATTATATCCAATATATACAACTGTGCCATTTGTTGTTCTGCCTTTAATTTATGCTTTATTTTTTATATCTATTTTATATATATTATATATACATACTGTAATCAAACTAACAAGCATAGCAGTTTTCTGTATCAAATTTTCAGTTTAATGTCATTTAATTTGATTTCAGCACTTGTCTTCTGTCGCTCTTGAAAAGTCTGGAGGACGAGAGCTCTTAAATGTCCTGATGATTATTATTCCAGTCTGATTGATTTATGATGCATTTGTGGAAGCTCTTTGCTGAATGCATTAGCGTTTATATAATGCTCTGAGTCATAGTCCTGAACTGGTGACTATCCCAGCTCTCTTCTACAGGTCTAAGAGAAAATACAAAGACTTTCAGTGCTGTTATACAATCCATACACAATCCACACTTTTAGAGATGCTGTGCTGTTAAAGAAGCATATCTTTAAATACACAAGATTTATTACTTATATAAGAACCCCAATATTTCTAGGCAGTTCCTTAACAATCCATTGGAGGGAGCTGCGCTCTTCCTTATCTGAACATATTTTCCCAAAGACATTCTGTTGTTGGAGTGCCTAGTCAAGAGCAAAATAAAGGTGATTTGTGATTTCATAAAGCCCAGCCTAATGCTGTTAACTTCCATACTAAACGATGTGCTTCACTACTGGTTTTAACTGATTACAGTTGGTCTTAGCCAGTTTGAGCCTATATTATGGGCTGCCTGTCTCATCTATTCATCGACTGCAACTGGTCCAAAATGTGGCTGCTCGTTTGCTCACAGGCAGCCGCAGATGGAATCACATTTTACGCTCATTGCACTGGCTACCGATTTATTATCGCATTCATTTAAAAATTCTGCTGTTTGTGTACAAAGCTCTAAACAACCTTGCTCCTCCATATCTCTCTGAGTTGATTATAGTACACAATCCAGCTAGATCACTCAGATCACTTTAAAGCTGCGACAATTGAGTGCATGAAGTGTCCGACATTCCACACTTCATTTAAGTGCATCATCCGGGTATTTAAAGTGCCCTTTTTCTTTTTGGAATTTTCAGTGTGAACGGACTACTCACACTATTTATACTACAAATAGTCATAGAATAGTGCATAAGTACGCGATTTGGGACACTCCTACGGTGTAACTATGCGACAGAGCGGTCCATTAAAGACGCAATTGTATGACGTG